ATGTTGTTTTTAAGTGTTTTGTTATTTTCTAAATATATGTTAGATATTGATACTCGTTCCTTAATTCGGTTATTGTAATATATTGACTTAAAATTGCGGTAGGAACTCATACACTTCAATTTCTAGATCCGCCTCTGGGGTTCTACCTCTTCTCAGACTTGCCACTGCCAACCTCTTGCACCTCCTCGTTGGGACATCTGCAAACCTCTTCTTCATATGCCTGAACCATCTCAACCTCGCTTTCCCGATCTTGTTCATCATGTAGGCCACTTTCACCTTGCTCCGTGTGTGTGTGTATATATCTTCGTTCTTAACCATATCCCGGCTAGTATATATGCAGGAAATCAATAAATATATGGATTATAAGGACAACATGTTCCTATTTTCTTCCTCAAATTTATTAGGTTAAATATGAAAATTTTACTTATCTCCCTCCAATTTGCATTTGAAACTTTCGATCCTTATGGCGTTGAGATTGAGGAAAATGTTCTTCCAGTTATCGTAACAATAGTTATCCCTGACTTACATAATGATGTAAAATAAAATATTTAGCTAGTGTGTGTATCACTACAATTAGCTTGTGATAATTTTATTTAGTTTTAGCAAATTAAAATTAATGGTATATTTTGGTAATTTCAAGAATCAATTGCTTGAGTACTGTAGAGTTGTTGCTTTGTCAAAAGCCTATATATGTATTCTTTGTAACATCACTTTAGGAGGAATATTAGAGGAATTATTCATTCATCTTGTGAAGGAATTTCCAATGGGAGAGAAAGTAAACATTAATGTGTACGTTATATTCATTGCATGGAGGAAATGGGAAGCATTTGCATTTCCCAAAGAGAATCGAATCATTCTTCCTTTCTTTTTGCTTTTTCACAGTTTGCTACAGCTCTCTTTACCACTCCCCAAGAAAATGGTGGGTGGTTCCTTTGCTTGGGAGGAGGGGGGTGAGGTGAGTGAACTTAAATTATTAATAGTAATATAGTATCTACTCTCTTTATTCTTCATTTTGGTTATATTATCTTTCGGAGAGCTAATTTAACAGCAGTCCACGTAAATACTAAGATTTTGTTAGTCTAACTTTTTATAATATATTATAAAATATTATAAAATATGAAATTGCCAATCAGAGCAAAAAAATTCTAATTATACATAGATGAAACTATGTTAAATATATTCTTTTAGTCTTTCGAGTAGTAAGTTGTATTTATGTACGTAATCTATCTCATTTAAATTCTTAAGTTGTGAGATAGAGTACACTAATATATATTTATTTATGTCTTTCATATGCCCCTCATTCATGATTCTTTCTTTTTTCATGGACCAAGCACGTAAAATTCTTTGAATCTTTACATAAATGACCGATTAGATTTGTTGTTTACGTTCCATATATAATCGATACACATAGGCTATACAATGATTATACACGATTATATACATATATATNAATTTTTCAAATTCTTTTATACGAGATAATTATACACTTTAACAGTTTGAAAATCAGTATCTAATGAGAAATTTCATGTTTTAAAAAAAATGCTAAAAGTAGTAGTATTTTAACAAGTGCTGCCTATGGGGAAGAGGGCTTAGTTACTAAGTAAGGAGTATTTATTTCTTTCGAAATCATCATTTGAAAAATTATGTTTGGCCTCTCAAGAGTTCCATTTCTTGGAGAATGGTGTGCTTGGTGGTTCCTATCTTTACACCTAAAAGAGGAGAGAGAAAGAAAAAGAATAAAGTATAGTCCGGTACACTAAGTTCCCGTTATGTGTGGGGTTTGGGAAAGGGCCGGACTACAAGGATCTATTGTACGCAATCTTACCCTATATTTCTGTAAGAGGTTGTTTCTACGGCTCGAACTTGTGATCTCCTGGTCACATGACAGCAACTTTATCGGTTACGCGAAATAAAAAGAAATGATTCAGAAAAACAAATAGTATGTAAGAATGAGAGAGAGGGGGAAAAGAAAAAATGACAGCAAAAAAGCCAATGTAGTGCTTGGAAGAAAAAGAAAAGATATTACACTAAAAAGAAAGAAAAGATGGTCAAATTGGACCTCGAAGACTCCCTTATGCCATCATCAGCTTCGACTATCTTTATCGAAAATCTACCAATTTTCACTTTCTTCCATTTTGAACCATCCACCTTCCTCATTCCTCTCCTCCCATAATTTTTAATTTGGAATTAATTACCCCTAAATCCATCTTATAATGATTTAATTTATAAAATTTATATTATATCATTCAAAAGATACTTATAGGCAGGGGTGGAAGCTGAGGGNGTCCAATTTTGAACCATCCACCCTCCTTATTTCTCTCATCCCATGAATTTCTAATTTGGAATTAATTATACCTAAGTCCATCTTATTATGAGTTACTCCTCCCGTCCATTTTAAGTAATTTTTTAATATATTTTTATGGTTGATAATATATGATTTTTTTAAATATTAAAAAAGAATTAATTTTATTTTTTGAAAGTTATCCTTAGAGTAAAGAGCCTAGGAGTATTTGTTGTATTTTCAATAAAAAAATTAAGATTAATATGGTCAAATTACATTGTTAATTAATGCTAAAAGATAGATTCTTTTAAATATGTGTGAAAACAACCAAAAAATCACTTAAAATGGACCTTATGGAGTAAGTTTTAAACATCGAGAATGAGAAGCGAATTATGGATTTAAAATTTATGAATCCCATAATGATCTGAAGGTAATACCATTATATAGTCATAATTGAAATTTCAATAAAATATTTATAAATATTTATGAATATATATATATATATATATATATTAAAAAACAAAAAGATAATATAATGATCACATTCATATGTGGTCTTGTTATTATTATATTAAAGAACAAAAAGATATCCAACGTACTTGCATAGATTGGTGTAGCCATGCAACTTTAACTTAGGGCTTCGATTTCAGCTTCGAATACGTTACGAAATCTGACACACACGAGTGCGCATCCCCTTCTTACCCCCTTCTCCTACGTGAAAAACAACACCCCCCCCCCAACCACCACCACCAATATATTCTTGTTTTTATTGTTTTTAAATAGATTATATATCTGCTAGAGCGTTTGCTCATTTATTTGTTATATTTAAAACTATTGCTGTATTTTACCATCAAGACGTTTCTTTATTCTGGGGGTGGGGGTGTGGGTGGGGATTGAGGGGATTACAAGGGAGAAGAATGAAGTTTGGTGATACTATTTCTTAAAATGACCAATTAAATCCTATTTTTGGGTTGATGTAAATTTTAATATATATAGTTTATGTTTCATATACTAACGATAACGATGTAAAACATATATATAAAATAATTATAAATAAATCTTTGTGTTCACATAATTATAAATAAATTTCTATGATAAACGTTAAAGATAACATAATAAAAATAATAACTAACTATCACATGTAAATAATACTGTAGGTATTACAAAAATTTATATTATCAGTATATATAGTTTATATCCATCATAATATATAGATACTTAACTTTTTATTTCTTGCGACGACCTACATTAAAAGTATGTTAATCCCATTAGAAATTAAACATTATATACCAAATTGATTGTTAGTAATTCTTCTATGATTCAAGAATTAAAAGAAACTGTCTATTGCACAAAACATCATAATAGAAATTTGGAACTATATTTTCCGCTACAAATGACCTTGAGGAATAGTAAATTGGTGTCATATTAGTTTATAATGACTAAAGTAACCCCTTACATTGGTTCGATATAAAGAAAAATGTGGTCAATGAGTGTCCTTTTGACTTACTTATGCAACTTTGACCCTCAAGTACAAAAATGGAATATTCAAAGAAAATATTAAAGGTATGACCATTTTTCCCCTGTATAGCGACCCTTACCTTAATACAACAAGGTGGGACTCTAGGATTTTTATTTTTTTATTTTTTTGAAAAGGGGACGTGACCCCTCCTTTGCAGGTGAAATTTGAGATAAGAATAAGTTGTGGGGGTCAATATTGAGAGCATAAAAATAAACGGAATATTCATTTTGTCTGGCTTGAGGTCGAAACCTATTTAGTTCATGTTTCATTCTTATCCAATCACGAGTTAACAAGCAAGCATTTTTCCATGTGGGACTTGTGTGGGCCCTATGTTGTTGGCCACGTAAGCAAATTAAGGGCCCTAAAATAATTTAGTCAAAGGTTTTTTTAATGCATGCTTCAAAGAGTTCATGCATTAAACAGATCATATGATTAATTCCTTTCACTTTGTGTTTTACTTATGTTGTCAAACAAGTCCTTCCACTCTTGATATTATTTCAAGCAGTAAATTTGAGTCCTGCTACCCTTTCATAGACTAGTATATACTTCTTAAAGAATAAAAAAAACAATCAATTCTTTGATATCATGTGACGGTTTGGATACATGAGGAAGAATTATTTTAGTTAAAAATGATATATTTTTAAAAGAAGAAAATGATTTTAAAATGTATTTGGATGATTTCTGACAACCTTCACTGATTTTGGCCAATTTAATATTAATTTTAGGATATTCAGTGAAAATTGAGGATTCTTTTAATTAGTTTGGTGGATTTTCTCCAACTAAACTGTAAGTTCGATTATTTTATGTGTAATTAAGGGTATTGATGGAATTATATCATGGATTTCGTTGGTATTTGTTTCGAGGCTTCCACGCACATATATCCATATTCCCATCTCTTGAAGCCTTAAAAGATGCTGTAAACATAGCTAAGAGAACTTTATCAAATTTGATAAGTTAAACAATTCCATTATCTTCAAATTTCTTTTTCTTTATAATTTTTTAATTTCGCTTTTCTTTCTTTTACTACTCCACGTACTATTTTAAAATTTGTTTTCCTTTAGTAGGGATTCTACTGTTTAAAGGGAGGCTAATTAAGCTACGTGAAAGAATATTACGAGAAAAAGAACATCCCACCGCTGCCTTTATCCTCTCGAAATTCGAGGAACTTTGCAGTATATAAACCTCTGCAAACAACACCAAAATCCACAACTTCTTTCTTAGATTCAAAATCTATTCTTCTACTTCTCCTACTCCTGCAAACAAAAGAAGCCACTATCTTAATTAGCTTATTTTGTGTTCTACTTATTTTGTATTTCTTCCAAGGTCAGCATTTCCCCTTGTTTATGCAACTCATTTCTTGAAAAATTCTTCCTTAATTATACATATCCATGCAGTAGTGAAGTGATCATCACTTATTTAATTTGTCCCTATTTTCTCTCTCTTTTCTAATGGTGTAGTTAGTGAGTGCTAAGGGCAAAATTGGCTCGAAACTTTTGCTTTATATATCTTCACTTAAAATATCCAGACAACTTTTTGCTTACAAACTTAATTTGACCGTGCAGTTGTCGTTTGAAATTTTTTTTTAGAATCTCTTATTGCCCACTATTCAATTTAGAATCAAAATGGAAACAGATATTCTCTTTCCATGTTCCTTTTCAACATTAGTGACAGTTGTTTTATACATGAAATTATATGAATAAAGTCGAAGGCTCTTTCTCTGTTTTACCTTTTTTTCTTCCCCTAAATTTTTATGAATTTAACCAGTTTTATACCTTCAGGATAATTTTATCTGTTATAACAAACATTTGCTTTATTTTTCAGATAATTAATTCAATATTAATAATTAATTTAAGTGACTTGAATTTTGATGATATAGTAAATAAAATTCTGTTTAAACAAATATTATTACCTAGAAAGCATCAAGAGACTTAATGCTGCGTACATACAAAAATCATGTAGTATTTTTTTTGGTTAGTTATTCCTAAGTGCTCATAATTTGACCAATTTTCTCAATAATATGAATTTATAGGCAGGAAAAAGGAGAAAATGAGCAGACCAGGAGACTGGAATTGCAGGTCATGCCAGCACTTGAACTTCCAAAGAAGAGAGTCATGCCAAAGATGTGGAGAGCCACGTCACGGTCATGACTTTGGAAGCTGCTTTGGGGGAAGAGGAGGCGGCGGCTCCTCCGCTTTCGGCTTCAGTACCGGGCCTGACGTAAGACCCGGCGACTGGTACTGCGCCGTAGGAAATTGTGGCGCACACAACTTTGCCAGCCGCTCGAGCTGCTTCAAGTGCGGTGCTTTTAAGGATGAGTCCTCTGGTGGTGGCGGTGGCGGTGGCGGTGGCGGCTTTGACGCTGAACATATGATGTCGTCCCGCCCGAGAGGCTTTGGCTTCGGTAGTGCTAGTGGCGGCAGCCGTTCTGGATGGAAGTCCGGTGACTGGATTTGCACCAGGTAAATACAATCTTAAAGTCTCAGTATAAACCAAAGGCAATACATTCGTAGTCTTGGTGCCTAAGTAAACCCGTACGTATTATGGATATCTAGTCCTGATACTTTATAATATAAGTTTATATAAATTAAACTCAAATTAAAAGTAAATAAATAAAACTTGTATTACAGAAACAAACAAAAAAACGAATGTCTGTCTCAATTTCCGCTTTTTCTTCCTCGAGCCAAAATATAATATTAAAAGATCGTGATTGTTAGATTCAGTGACCAACTTTAAATAAAGTAGAGTAGTTTCTATCTGATTTGAATAACTCCCGGGCATAAGCAAGAATGATGGATGAAAGTACAGCTATTGGTCCTATTTAAAACAATTGGCGTGCATGTGTTTGAAACATTAAATATTTGAATTTTTAGGCTCAATTTTTTCTTTTGTAGCCCATTGTTGTAAAAATGTTTGAAATTATAATAAACAGGTTAGGGTGCAATGAGCACAACTTTGCCAGCAGGATGGAGTGTTTCAGATGCAATGCACCTAGGGACATAGCTGGTAACAAGTCCTCATATTAATTCATCATTGATTCTCCATTTTTGGGTAATTAATAAATATTCACTTCTTGCCTCTTGAATTTTACAAAAGATTTACGCATTATATATTTTCTTATAATTAAGTAAATAATAATATATTTATTCAGGTGTTGCAGTCTAAGAGAGAATCAAGCTAGAAAGACGTGGAGAAGATGATAAGTATCTCGGAAGAAGAAGAAGAAGATCTCTTTTTGCCCTATCAAATCCTACCTACTCTCTTTTTTATTTATTTTTTCACTTTTGATATTTTGATATTTATATTATTCACTTGTAGGAATCTTTAGATGAATTATGATCTCAAAGAAAAAGGGAAAAAAAAATCATATCGATCGAGTGTAGCTGAATCTTTATTTCGCGAGCTAATTAGGTATTAAATGTAGTCTTGTACTTCCTGCTGCTTTGTTTCAATCTATTTAGTATCAACGTGTGTTATTGAGAAAGAGCTTCTTCTTTTGCCATATAAACTCTTTTGTGTTATTCCATTTCGATATTTCTGTTAATCAAAATTAACGTAAATATATTAATCCTCCTCGACGCTTAAAAGAAAGGAAAAGAAAGAAAGAAATAGACTGATACTATTATTTTCCATTTCCTTGGGCCGTTTATGCAACTGATTATCCATCTCAACATAAATTTGCACTGAAACACAAAAGCAAGCTAAAGTTGCATGTACGTAATTACATATGGACCGTCGTAGAAAAAGAACTGCACTTAGTTAACGTTATGCATTAGATAATTACTTTCTTATTTGGATTATAGAACTAAAACCACATTTCAGCTTAAAGAATGCTCGCTCCATTTCGTTTTACGTCACTTAAGTTTGATTTGACACGTAATTTAAGGGGAAAAAAAAAGAAGACTTTTAGAATTTATAGTCTTAAACATTACATAATATTCGTGTGGCAATAAAACATTTGAAATTTGAAGTCTTAAATACTTACTCCCTTCGGTCCATTTTAAGTGATTTTTTGGGTTTTTTTTTTGTGATCCACAATATTTGATTTTTTCAGATATTAAGAAGAAATTAACTCTTCTTTCCAAAGTTTTCCTTGGAGTAAAGAGTCTAAGATTAGTTTGTTATATTTTTCAATGAGCAAATTAAGGTTAGTATGTTCAATTTAATTGTTAATTAATGCTAAAAGGTAAATTTCTTAATACGCATGAAAAGATCACTTAAAGTGGAACCGGAGTGTGGTTATAAAGCTTCTCGTCAAAATAAAACATGTATCATGAGTTAAATTATTTTTAAATATAAAATGTATATTATTTTCAGACGGATTAATAAGAAAAATAAGTCACGTAAATTAAAACAGAGGGAGTATAATTTATGATAATCATAAATCAAGTTTAGTTGCTTTAACAGAATGAAATAAGATTGATCTTGTTGTTTGTTAAGACCGCATTTTGCTTCAACAATAAAAGAAGAGCTAATGCTCTTACAATAGCACCAATCTAAAGCAAATTCTAAGCATTTCAGAGCAAAATAAATTTCTTTGCTTTGGGGCGATTTCTCTTCTAGCTTGGTCACTCTTTTCATTTACTATCGAGAACTGAATTCGTGAGAATAGAGGATATCGTGAATATCTGCATAAAGCACATGACAGTCGTAAATTTAGAGCTAGTTAGAATCGAGTATTAGCTTTAGTGGATACGTCTTGGCATCAGAACTTCGTTGGTTGTTTATAGTAGATTATTATTGAGAAACATGAATGAACAATTTGCCAAAACAATTTGCCCGTATTTATTAAGGACCTCATCACTCGAGTTTCTCATCTTCTATATGCAAATTTATTCATATTAAAATTGTAGAAAGCTACGGTGTTTTTCTTTTCTTTTCTTTTTTAAAATACGGAGCTTAGTAGTAGGGTTTACCATAGAGTTCTAGTTTGATTTGTTTCTTCTTAAATATCTTTGTTTTGTAGGGTATGCACCTTTATTGTTGTAGATATGTTAGTTTCTGGAAGTAAAAGTTGGGCAATGATATATGATAAGACATGCTCCTATTCTCAATCAAAATCATATTCATTTTGATATCTTCGCTTTTAAGGCTGCTTTCACAGTATAGCTTTATCTATCCCTTCGAGCCGATTTCTTTTACTCCGTCCAACAACAAAAATCAAAATCATTAATTTAAAAAAAGCAAGTACCCAAAAATCTAATTAGAAATATGGTTAGATAAAAGCTGCGAGTATATGTTTTCCAAAAATCATTCTAAATGTTTACCCTTAATTAAAAACGAATAACAATTGAATTTGTATGCGGTTTAAAGAACACGTGATTTAATTTAATATGTATGATCTAAGAACAACAAATAATCAAATTGAAGAGAGAATAAACGATCAACCCAATCTCGATGAAACAATCAAGTCTGGTTTTAAGTTGAACACTGAAAATCGGCTCCGATCGAACCCTCGATATGAGCTCGGTTGCAATTTAAGAAGAGAGTAACTGAAGAACACTTTGAATAGTAGCTAGAAGACAAAAATGAACTTTTATTACTTTGATGTGCGTGTCTACAGTGGTTTAAAATGAAAAAGATTCCCCCTTTATATAGTAAGAGAATTTCAATCCTAGTACAAGTCTAAATATGGTAAAATCTTCTTTTTCGGTAAATGTCGATCTACAGCTGATATGGGACGGGATTTGCGCCGTAATATCCGGTTGAGGGCGAATATTATGGCTCTATGCTCGTCATGCTCAACCGTTTCTCTTTTTCCTTAGTCTCGAAACTTTACTTGATCCGGATCCGTTGTTTAGCCGTGCTCGATCCCAGATGCACCGTTCATCCCCCCGAGCTCCGAAACAAGGGACCCTTCGGCTTCGCTCGAGGTTGCACTAGATCATGCTTCCCTCTCATTTCTTTATTGGGGAATCGGGAATAACATTACCCCCGATTTTACCCATACACAGATGGTCCCCTCACTTTTCGGAGAGCAGATTTATCGAAGCGACGAGAAATGATTAATTGACCCTGGTTCCTTCTTTCGTACGTTGTAATCGGGTCAACGAGTCAGTGAAACGTCCCATCAGTCGTGTCGTTCTGACTTCGGACACATGTCAGTCGCCGGATGACCGTCCTCGAATGCGAAACGTCACGCATTAATTAACTCTTCTCCATAAAATCTTCGGTCCTTTTTTAAATTTTTTACTTTCCGATTCGAGAACTTCTTAATTTACCCCTGAACTTTTCACTTGCTCTTAACCCCTTCAAATTTTCATATATTGTTCTTCATATCCATATATCTTCATCTTCCCATCTTCAAATCTCCATACTTCATCCTTGAACCTTTATGTTTGACCTTCAAATCTTCATCATCATCTTCAAATCTTCATACTCTCCTTCATACATTCATATTTCCCAGAGCTCAATGGCGAAGACTTCAAAATCTGTGCCCTAACAGACCGTCCCTTCAACTTCTAACCCGGCCACGGATGCTAAGATAGTCATACCTGAAGTCGCCTCGGAACCTCCTCTAAAGAATTTCATCCCCGGGGGCTGCTCTATAGAAAATGACTTCAAGGTCGAAAAAGCTTTCAGGCAAGGGGATCGAGGTGAGGAGGTGTGGAGGTACATATGCTCCATTACCAAGGACACGCTCCCTACGGTTCGGGAGGACTGCAAGTGGGAGGGCAAAGAAGTGGTTCCCTTGTCCTGATGAGGACATCACCACACACGTGGAGGGGTATCTAAGTGCTTATACATACCCCTTCACACTTGGCCCTGTGGATACCATAGTCCTCGACTTTTGCAAAAGGTACGAAGTCTGCCTCGGGCAGATTTACCCGTCCTTTTGGAAGGATCGTTATCCTCCTCAGTCACTTTGTCAATAACACTGAGACACCACAATTTACCATCGATCATCTGCTTCATCTCTACGGTCCCTGAATCTTTCGAGGGGGATTAATCAAGCTCGTTTGTCGGGCAAATAAAGCTCCATTATTGAGCATTGAAGAAGATAGGGATCGAGGCTAGCAGGGGAGATTTGTTCAAGTGAAAACCGAGGATCTCATTCCCCCTGAGTTCCTACCGTTCCCTGAAAAGTGGAACCTAGCCCGTAAGTACCTCTCCTATTTGAGTATTTACAATTTCTTTTGGATTTTTGTTCTTCTTCCTTATTGCCTCGTTATACCATCGTGTAGCGGTTTCCCGAGTCCCCAAATGAGTTCCCTACTTCAAAGAGTGGGTCAAGGGGATATGTAAACAGCTATCGTACTTCGAGTGCGAATGGCGCAAACTCTCGAAGGGCATGTGGGAGGCTCGTTCCCATGGTGAGTGATCTCCCCCCTATCAAGTTTCCTTTCATATTCAACTGTTATTTTCACAAAGTCGCTCTCTTTCATTCATAGGTTTGCCCAATACCACTGAGCTTCAGGTAGTGGACGAGGCTGAGGCTTCATCCTCACCCGACAAACCCTCCGCTTAGGGACAACCTGAGGCCGTTGCGAAGAAGGAGGAGAAAAAGAGAAGAGAGAGGAAGTCTTCGAGTTCCCGTACGCCGAGGCCAAGAAGAATAGGGTAGCGGTCTGGGTCCAAAATAGTAACAAGAATAGTACCCGGGCCAGGGTACTGGACCCCGAATCCCTTTACCGGCTTAGGGACACCCTGAAGATGACGACTTGGATTTTGTCGCCCATAGGCCGGCCGTTAATGAAGAAGAGCAGGCACCGTCGGGGGGTAGTGACCTAGAGGTCGAACCCTCTTTGGCTTAGGAGCCCAAAGGAAAGCTAGTGGCTACGGCCTCCCGAGAATCTACTCCTGATCCGAGAGAAGCCGTCGGTGTTATTGACATCACGGAGTCGCCGTTTCACACAAAGTCTTTGTTTAACGAGACTCAGACCATCAAAGAGAAACTAAAAAAGACATCATCGGCCGCAGACGAGGCCCTCAACCTGTTCTTTGAAGGCGTGGACATCGGTGCATTGGAGGATTACTCCGAACGGTCACCTGGAGATCCCGAAAAAAGATGTGTCCTCAAAAGCAGGCGGGTCAAGCTCGAGCCTGAAGCTGGTGAAGCAGTTCCCCGCTCCGAGCGTGGATCTCGACCGCAAAAGAACGATCGTGTTTATGATCCTGACGGATAGTCCGAACCGGTTGGCATGGCCAACTATCTTCGTTGCCTGGTGACCGAAGAGGATTAGGCGGAGATGAACGAGGTGAGTGCACCGAGCCTCTTCAATTAGGCACAACAGGCGCTGAACCGGGTATGCTTCTCTTTCTTTGTTTCCTTCGTGTAGCTTATTTAACCTTAGCGTATCTTCATGATCTCATCAATTTGTTTTTCACGCCTCTATGCTTCATCATGAAAGCTTCCATCGGTCTCGAATGGAAGTGAGCTAGCTCGAGTTCGAGCTCAAGGAACAGATCTGGAATAAGGACATGTACAAAGCTCTTAGCGAGCAAAGAGACGAGGTCCTTAAGAACTTACCCATTCTCCAGGAT